GGACTCTTGTGGGCTATAAGCCTTGTTAAAACTTTAGACCCATATCAAAATCTGTTGGGTTTTGTTTCATTCACACATGTTGCTTCCTGGTTTATTAGTCTGTCATCTCCAACGCTCAAAACGCTCTGTTCCATCTTCCATTCAGTAGGTTCCAGGGCTGAAATTATCCAAATTATTCTGGTGAAGGTGTATGGAATTTAAAAACACAGTGAAGCTTTTCCTGTATTACAACATGACATCACAAAGTGGAACAGAGTGTTTTCTGTTTGAAAGAAGAACTCAACCTAAATATGCAGGCAGGTTTTGTGTGTTAAACATACATGCATGAATGAAACAAAACATCATTCCAGGTATGTTTGTGATAAGGAAACTGCATTCTAGCATAAATGAGAATAGCATAATATAAGCGGTTACGGCTTTGGAGGTTTAGGCGTGTTACGCAGTGAAGGACACCAAAAGGAAAATGTCAACTTAGATATGTGTTGTCTTTACTTAAATTCTAAATTCATCTTACTCTACGAATGCAGTCATGAAAGCCAAATACTGACAAGCTGTGTAAATTACCTCCATTCAGCTTGCATTTAGAAAAACCTCTCCTCTGAAACTTGTTGCCGCTTAATCCCTCCCTCTCTCCCTCTCTCCCTCTCTTCTCCTCCCCAACATTTGTCTTCATCAAGTGCGGAGTGTCCAAGTACAGTTAATGTGATTGCACACATCATAATGTGGTGCGTGGGAGGTGGGGGGTTAGCGCTGTGGCTGATTTCATAGCTATGTTTACCTCATCTGCTCAATGACGAAGCAGCCGGAATGATTCAATTACACCAATCAGATCGCGTCAGGATTTCTATGTGGGTCGTCTGCGCCTGGAGTTTTTTATCGCTTCCTCACATCGCCTCCCACCCTCTCGCGGCTCTGCTGATTTTCGTGCTTGTCTGTATACATTTGGAGCTGTTTGGGTGGTTATACATGTCTTTTCAATGGTGACTGGCCCAGCTTTATTGCTGTTTGGTTAAGTTCAAATGCAACTTGATTGAGGAAAATTTGTGTGGTGATTATAAGTAAGTGAGACTACGACTAAATAATTTGTTTGGTGGGATGTGGTGGATTGGACTTTTAAAGATCTGTGACAATATCTTCAGTGTTTAGGAAAGCAAAATTAGGGGGGAAAAAAATAAAAAAGATCCTATATATTTACTACCTTCTTTCAATATATGAAAACACAGCTGACAGTCTGCACCAACATGTTGATGACTTTGTAAAATGGTGTGAAAATCTACACCTAAATGTCTTCAAAACAAAGGATGATTATTGACTTTCGAAAGAGTGTGCCTTAGAATGACGTCACATATATAAAGGGGCAGTCAGTTGAGTGTGTGGACTCCTATAAGTATCTCGGAACATTCATTTACTCTAAATAGAACTTTGACGATAATTGTACTGCTGTGTGTAAAAGTGGCCACCTACGCTTTCATTATCAAGTTGTCCTTCTACCATGATGACACTGTTCTATAAGACATTTATGGAATAAGTTTTCACTTTTTCATTGTTGTCATGTTTTGGGAGCTTCTCTGCTAAAAACAAGAACTCCCTGAATCAGTTGGTTAAATGGGCGAGTGAGGTGATTGTCCATCCTCAGAGCAGTCTGGACTCCCTCTACTCAAGACAGTTACAGAGAATGTCCTAGAGCATTTTAAAAGATGTACAACATCCACTAAACTCAGAGTTTCAGCTGCTTCCCTCTGGTCAGACGCTTTTAGTCCCAAGATCTAGAACAAATCGTTTTAAAAAGAACTTCATTCCAGTTGCTGTCATTATTATGAATAAATAGTAATCTATTTATGTATCAATTTAGTAAGTTTGTCTTATTTTATTTATTTATTTTATTTATTTAATGAGACAGGGACAACGCACAATTTTTACATTAACCTTAACAGGAGAGATGTATTGTACCAGGTTGTAGCACCAGTGCTAATTTCCACCTGTAGTCCCTGGGCAGGTTCATGGATTGTTTTAACTGATTGAACTGAATGTTCTTCAAGGAGACCTATGTAGCATGTTTTGGGTTGGGTCTTGGAAAAATAGTGTGTTTTTTATACATTTAAGATTTATTGTGATTTTAGCCAAACGTGATGGATGAATTTAACTGTTTGTGGAACAAACCATTCTGCACTCGAGCACTGTAACACTTTATGTGTAATTGTGTTTTTGTACATGTTTATTGTACATAATGTGGATGAATGAAATATGAAATGTGGGACCAGCCTCAAATCTGCAAAACAAGCTTACCTACGGGTACGAATAAAGCAACCTAACCTATTACCTACCACCAACAATCCTTGATTGCATTTATAAATAGCAAAGTGTCTTGCTCAAGATCAGGGTGCACTGGTCTGGAATGTTGGTACTAGAAATAGTCCTATATTACGCTATTACTTTATTATTAACTGACTCTTGTGAGCTTTAAGCCATGTTATATTGCTGTTACCTCCTCAAAAACACACCCGGAGTTGTGTTTTGTTTCATTCACACCTTTGAGTAATCCTGCCTTATTATACCGTCTACATCTCCAAAGCTCAAAATGCTTTGTTCCATTTTGTGATGTCATGAAGCGGTAGTTTTCAAGTTGGCAGCTACATTTTGCCTTTCGTTCATAAGAGACTGCTAGTCCCAGGGTTGCTGTATTACAACAACAGTAGAACAGATTTTTTTTTTTTTTTTTCGGTTTGAGTGAAGAACTCAGCCTAAATATGCAGGGTTTGTGTGTTAAACATGTGTGAATGAAACAAAACACAACTCCAGGCATATTTTTGATGATGAAAAAAATTATTCTGTCTCTTTTTAATTATCATTGTGGTACCAAAAACTGTATTGAGTATCTAGCATTTTTCCAGTATGAAAATCGAATTTGTAATTGTTGTAACACAACCCAAAATTGACCAAAAAAAAAAAAAAGGTGACATTTTTAAAAATGTAAAATAAAATGCTACTGAGGTGTTTGCCGGTGTACACAACTAGAGATCTGAAAAATGAACCCTGTACGACGCTGGGATGTTATTTTGCTGATAAGTAGAAAAGATCGTCCAAAGTTAAAGCCTCCTGTTTACAGTATGTAGGTGACACCAGGTATTCTCCCTCTTTACAGGCTGCTTCTATCTGCCTCGTACAGCAGTGGGTGTAGAGTGGGCGCAGTCTTATTTTCTGGCTGTCATATCCACTCTGGGTTAGGGGAAGGTGACAGGCATAAGTAATTACTGATCCCCCCGAGCAGATTCTTACGCTGCACACGATACAGCATTGTTTCAACAGCCTCTATAGCCAATACATGCAAGAGGACACCATCTGTGAAGCAGGGCCCCCAATAAAAGCCGCATTTAAGATGACATTTCAGATTTCGGATTAAGAGTCAAAGAAGATGACATTTCATTCTATATGCAGGGCTAAGAACAAAATGTAATATATTTGGCGAGAGGAAAGGAAACAAGGCAATGTTCCAGCAGGCCCTTTGCTAAATAATGTGGTTTGGAGTGCCACAACAGGCTGGTATTGATGCAAACACAAAATGACTCATCGTGGACAGATTTCAGAAGTTGAAGTTTACACATATATTTTGAACTTTTTTTTACCAGTTTGAACTTTCATTTATATAAGCTTGGTTCAGCACAAAGAAGACTTGTGCTCAGAGCTTAAAGGGCACATATTCTGCTTTTTTTCTGATTTATTTTCTGTTATAATGTTTCCTCATCTAAAACATACCTAGAATACCTGAGTTCTACCTTGTGATGTCATTTGGTAATACAAGAAGTGCTCCACTGTGTTTTTAAACGTAGTACACCTTCACTACAGTCATTTGTATAATTTCAGTGCTGGAATTGTCCATTTTTACTAAACAAAAAGTAAATTTGAGCATTTGAGCTTTGGAGATGGTCATAGACTATTAATAAAGGATGATGGAATGAAACAAAATAAAACTCCAGGTATTTTTTAAGAACATAACAACATTCTAGCATGACATAAAGCCCACGAGAGGCAATTTTGCATAATATAAGACCTTTAATGAATTATAGTAAGGTAAATAGATTTTAGTGGCTTTACACAAGCCACCTAAAAACTCTGAAGTACCTAAAAATTTACTCGTGTCCAAATACTCAAGCAAATACTCAACCAGTAGACATGCCAGCCAATTATTTAAGTTTGGGATGGGTTTTTCTAGTTTCAGCTAATAGCATTAGGTAGGTAATAGAATGTGGGCTCATGGTTGTGTTCCTGGTTGTATTTAATTAGATTGTGTTTACACATGAACAGACAGAATTGGGACTAAAGCTGGAACTGTACATGTTCCAATCAGAGCACTGTATTCTGAATACTTAAACATTTAAATAGATTTTACATTGATATTTTTACACACTCGTATATTTATACGTGTAAAAATATCAACGTAAAACCAGTGTAAAATATTTAAGTATTCAGAATTGCTTATTTATTATCACTGATTAAAAAGAAAAAGAAAAATGCACACACAACAAGAGCATTTTTTTTTGGTTGTTGTAATTTTTTTTGTTACATAATTAACTACTGACATGTATCCCCTTCATTTTTGGATTCTGAATATGTATTTTTTGGAACATGTTTTATATGAATAAATAGGTGACAGAGTGTTTGTCCACTGATCTGAAGTTTGGGGTTTCAAATCCCAATCTGGACATAAACATCATTGGTTGATGTTTAGGGTCAGGTCCACTGACCCACAGGTTGGCGATGCAATTCCAGCTCCCATAAATGAATGCTGTTGTTGTGTCCTTGGGCAAGACACTTAACCTACTTCACCCCTTGTGTATGAATGTGTGTGTGAATGGGTGGATGTTTGATTAAATGTTAAAGAGCTTTGAGTGTCCTGAAGGTGGAAAAAGTGCTATACAAACGTGACCATTTACCATCTTATTCTTCATATCTTTCTTCACTCCATCTTATCCCTTTCCCCTTTTTTTTTGCTGCTCCTCCAG